TCAACCTAACTAAGAGACAGACATCAACACAGCCTGCCCTATCACAAATGGTCCCAGCTAGAAGCAGGCTGGAGAGAGGGGCTTACAACATATCCCAGGGTCAAACACATGGAGCACAGAACAAGTCAGGGGATACTAAATAAATCCTTACCACTAAGCTGGGCATAGTAGCTCATACCTGTCATCTCAAGCACTCAAGACTGAAACAGGAAGATCTTCCTGATAATCCCTGTACTTAGGAGCAGAGGCAGGCGTTTCAAAGCCAGCCGGGCCTCCCTAGGGAGTTCCAGGCCAGCTGGGGCTACAGGTAGACCCTGTCTCAAAAAGACCAAAAAAAAAAAAAAAAAGATAAAAGTGCTAAGCATGGTGGTACACACCTTTAATCCTAGCATGTGGGGGGCAGAGGTAGATGAATCTCTGTGAGATAGAGGCCAGCCTAGTCTACATAGTGAGTTCCAGGCCAGCTGTGGCTAAAGAGAGACCCTATCTTTTCAAAAAGATCAAAAACAAGCAAGGGGGCTAGAGAGATGGTTCAGTGGTTAAGAAGAGCATTGTCTGCTCTCGCAGAGGACCTGGGTTTGGTTCCCAGTACCCACATGGCAGCTAACAACCATCTGTAACTCTAGTCCCAGGGGATCTGGTGCCCTCTTCTGGCTTCTATGGACATTGCATGCACATGGTGTACCTATTTCCATGCAGGCAAAATGCTCATACACATAAGATAACAATAAACCAAAATATAAAAAAAAACCTAAAACATAAAACAAGGCAGGGCATGATGGCATACACCTTTAATCCCAGCACTTTGAAGGCAGAAATGGGGATCTATGTGAGTGTGAGACCTGGTCTACATAGTGAGTTCCAGGCTACTCATTATTGACTACATAGTGAGACCCTGTCTTAAAAAGTGAAGAAAGAGGGCCTGGTGTGGTGGCACACGCCTTTAATCTCAGCACTCGGGAGGCAGAGGCAGGCAGAGCTCTGTGAGTTCAAGGCCAGTCTGGTTTACATAGTGAGTTCCAGGACAGCTGGGGCTACAGGGAGACCCTGTCTCAAAAAGACCAAAAAGTGAGACCCTGTAGCCCCAGCTATCCTGGAACTCACTATGTAGACCAGGCTGGCCTTGAACTCACAGAGATCCACCTGCCTCTGCCTCCCAAGTGCTGGGATTAAAGGCGTGTGCCACCATGCCCAGCAATATTCATTTTTATTTTATGTGTATGAGTGTATTGCCTGTGTAAGTGCACCCATTTTGCACAATGCCCAGTCAGAAGAGGACATAAGAGCCCCTGAAACAGAGTTAGAGATGGTTGTTAGCTGCCATGTGGGTGCTGGGAACTGAACCCAGATTCTCTGCAAGAGCAGCCAATGCTCTTAACTGCTGAGCCGTCTCCATCCCATAATTCTTTAAACAGGTTCTCTTATAGCCTGGGCTGGCTTTGAACGCAGTATGCAGCTGAAGCTAGACTTGAATTCTTGATCCTCCTACCTCCATCTCCCAAGTTGCTAGGATTACAGGAATGTGCCATTTCACCGAGCTTGATAGTACTAATTCTTAATTTGTTTTGTTTGTAGCCCCAGCTTGCCTGGAATTCACTATGTAGACCAGGCTGGCCTCCATCTCACAGAGATCTACCTGCTTCTGTTTCTCAAATGCTGGGATTAAAGGCATGTGCCACCACACTTGGCCAATAGTAATTCTTGAGGTACCTACCTTATTGGGTTGTCTCCAGGACTAAATCATGAGTTAATACATGCATAGGTATTGGAATAATCCCTGGCTCCCTCATATGTTTAAACAAAACCACCAAACTCTGTCTCTGCTATTGTAGACAGTGTAGTCTAAATATGTTTGAGACTCTTAGCTATGGAGATAGATGTTAATAATAGCAACTATCCCTCCCTCCTCAGTGGACTTTTCATAGTGTTAAAAATAAAAGTTCCATGCTGGGCATTGTGGCGCATGCCTGTAGTCCCAGCACTTGGGAGGCAGAGGCAGGCGGATCTCTGTGAGTTCAAGGCCAGCCTGGTCTACATAATGAGTTCCAGGACAGCTGGGGGTACAGGGAGACCCTGCTTCAAAAAGACCCCCCCCCCAAAAAAAAGAAAGTTCCAGGGCTGGAGAGATGGCTCAGTGGTTAAGAGCACTAACTACTCTTGCAGAGGACCTGGGTTCGATTCCCAGCACCCACATGCAACTACAAACCATCCTTAACTCCAGTTCGAGGGGACTCCAAAGCCCTCTTCTGACCTCTGCAGCATTGCACGACATGGGTGTATTCACATACATGCAATGTGAGGACAGGAGCCAATCTACTGAACCCATGTTCATCCATATGTAATAGCTCGCATCTGGAATCCTAGTGCCCCTACTGCAAGATGGGACACAGATGGGAGAATCCATGGAAGCTCGTAGGCAGCAGTGGTAAGGAAGAGACCTTACCTCAAGCAAGGTAAAAGGAGAGGACTTGAGGTTGTCCTCTGGCCTCCAGATGTGCATTGTGGCTCATGTTCACACACAAATTCATTTAAATAAATATTCTTTTCTTTTTTAAAAATGTTTTATTCTTTTTTTTTTTTTGGTCTTTTTGAGATATTTTATTATTCTTATTTTATGTGTATGAGCGTATTGCCTGCATGTGTATAAGTGCACTCGTGTCGTTCAAAGCCCACAGAGTCAGAAGGTGGCATCAGATTCTCCTGGAACTGGAGTTATGGACAGTTGTTAGCTGCCATGTGGTGGTGGGACTCAAACCCCAGTCCTCTAGAAATGCAGCTGGTTTCCTAACCTCTAGGCCATCTCTCCAGTCCCCATAAATAACCTTTTTCTAAGCCAGATAGATTCATGTCTGTTAGTAATCCCAGCATTATTTATGAATGGGGCTGAAGTAGGTGCATTCAAGTCCAGCCTGGGCTATAAAGCGATGCCCCCTCTAAAACAAAATAAGACAAAACAAAACCAAACAGCCCTAAAAAAGTTCCAGCAGTAACTATTTTATTATAGGTTATTTATTTACTTTCTTAGGTTACCGTGCAAAGTAATGGGTATGGGGCCAGTGAGATGGCTCACTGGTGCTTGTTGCCAAGCCTGTCAGTTTAATTCCCCAGACTCACGTGGTGGAAGGAGAGAATGAACTCCCACAATTTGTCCTCTGACCTCCACAAAGCACTGTGGTGCCTGCATGCACGCACGCACCCGCACACTCACACAGTAAAAAGGAAAAGTAATAGGTTTCATTGTGACATATTCTTTGTGGGTATAAAGTACTGTGAATGCACATGTATGAGAGTATATGTAAGGCCAGAGGTCAACCTTGGATTATCCTTAAGAGCTTGTCCACAGTATTTTTTTGAGACAGGATCTCTCACTGGTACTTGGCTCACTTTTTAGGCTAGGCTGACTGGCCAGAGAGCCCTAAGGATTGTCTCCATTTACTCAGCACTGGGATTACAATCATGCGCCATCAAGCCCAGATTCTTTTTTATTTTTCCTTTTTTTGGTCTTTTTAAGACAGGGTCTCCCTGTAGCCCCAGCTGGCCTGGAACTCACAGAGATCCTCCTGTCTCTGCCTCCTGAGTACTGGGATTAAAGGGGTACACTACCATAACGGGCTCAGCTATTTGTTTTTAAATTTTAAAAACCTTTTAATGCCGAACATGGTGGTGCACGCCTTTAATCCCAGCACTCGGGAGGCAGAGGCAGGTGGGTCTCTGTGAGTTCAGGGCCAGCCTGGTCTACATAGTTCCGGGACAGCTGGGGCTACAGGGAGACCCTGTCTCACATTCAAGAACACAAGTTAGTAGACAGGAAAGAATACTTTTCTGCCAACTGGATATGTGTAAAACTGCTTAAAGCTTAGCCGAACTGCTTGGGCCCTGTCTCTGAAGGACAGTGAGAAGATGTGTGTGAAGCCCACTTATATCAGGTGGTGAAATGATGGATATTTCTTCTTCCTCTCCAGGAGTCCCGGCCTTTACATGTTGTACTGGGAAATGAAGCCTGTGACTTAGACTCCATGGTGTCTGCTCTTGCCCTGGCTTTCTACCTAACAAAAGTGAGTACCAGGAAGCAGTCCCTTACAATGAGAAAATCTGGATTCAGGACCCAACTCTGCCACTTACAATATAGCCATGACTAAACTGAAGTTAAGTCTTGGCATGGTGTGATGTAACACACCTGTAAGTCCTTAGGAGGGGAGGCAAGTTTCATAAAAAAAGAAGAAAGTTGGGGTGTTTGGGGTGTGGGATGGGATAGCTCAGTCAATAAAATGCTTGCTATGCAAACATGAGAACCTGAGGATGATCTTCAGAATCCCCTTTTAAAAAAAAAAAAAACGGTGGGGGCTAGAGAGCTGGCTCAGTAGCATCCACATGGCAGCTAACAACCAACCACCTGTAACTCCAATTCTGGGGGATCCGACGCCCTCTTCTGGCCTCTGGGCACTGCACGCAAGTGGTTTATATATGTTTAGTCAAAGCACCCGTACACATAAAACAAAAATTAGTTTAAAAAGGCCAGATGTGGTGGCATATGCTGGGGAGGCAGACAGGGGCTCAGTGGTCAGCCAGCCTGCTTGGTGAGTTCCAGGGCAGTGGGAGATCTTGCTCAAAATAAAAAAAAAAAAGGGCCAGGTGTGGTAGCACACGCCTTTAGTCCCAGCACCTGGGAGGAAGAGGCAGGCAGATCTCTGTGAGTTCAAGGCCAGCCTGGTCTACATAGGGAGTTCCAGGCCAGCTGGGGCTACAGGGAGACCCTGTCTCAAAAAGACCAAAAAAAAAAAAAAAAAAAAAAAAAATGGTGGCTAATGCCTGGGGAATGATACCACAGAGGTTGTCCTCTGGCCCTCACACACATGCATACATGAGTCCCTATGCATCTGCACCTATGCATACATGAAAATAATAAAGAGTTAGCTACCTTAATTTTGTTGTGTTCCTATCTGAAATGAATAAATCTGTTTGAGGAGTATGTAAATCATAGTTTTGTTATTGAGTTCCTTATCCCTGTCATTGACCTAGTGTGTTTCTTACCCAGGTTTTTTTTTTTTTTTTTCGTTTTTTTGTTTTTGTTTTGGTCTTGTTTGGTTTGGTTTGGTCTTTTTGAGGCAGGGTTGCCCTGTAACCCCAGCTGGCCTGGAACTCACTTTGTAGACTAGGCTGGCCTTGAACTCACGGAGATCCACCTGTCTCTGCCTTGGTTTTTTTGTGTGTATGTGAGACAGGGTTTCATGCATCCTAGGCTGGCCTTGAACTTACCAAGTAGCTGAGGATGACATTGAATGTCTGATTCTCCTGCCCCTGGCTCCTGAGTGTTGAGATTATAGACATAGAGCACCACCTCCGGTTTATGCAGTGCTAGGAATCTCAGGGCCTCATGCATGTTAGGCAAGCACTCTACCAACTGAGCTACATCCCTGCCAGCCCAGATTAACGCTTAAGGACTGGTGATCTCTTCCTGCAGCATGAAGTTGTACCCATGTCTTCCCATGCGTTATCTTGTTGATTTTCATTCTATTGCTAAGAAGATGGAAGGGAAGAACCATCCACTGAACATGTGCTTAGCATGTTCAGTGCCTGGGGTTTGATTCCCTAGTATCTAAAAACAACGAAAGTCATCTTTTTCATGGACTTGGTAAGAAATTGAGAAAGTGGTAACTTGCCCAAGATATGTCTCCTTCAGTCATTTCTTCTGTGTGTGTGGAGGCTGGAGGTTTGAACTCAGCCTGAGCTACACTCCCAGTCCAGTCTTTTTTATTTTTCTTGCCTATTTCAGAACATTGTGATACCTTCTTTTCAATTCCCTTACCAGACAACTGAAGCAGAAGAAATCTTCATACCAGTTTTAAATATAAAACGTTCTGAACTTCCTCTACGAGGTGACAACGTCTTCTTCCTTCAAAAGATTCAGATTCCAGAGACAGTGTTGATTTTTCGGGATGAGATTGACCTCCACGCATTACACCAGGCTGGCCAACTCACGCTTATCCTTGTTGACCATCATGTCTTGCCCAAGTAAGTAGATGGAAATTAAATCAATTAAATTGATACTTATCGTGTGCTGTATTAGACTCTGATGAATGACATAGAAAGAAAGGAAGAGATTTGCTTCCAGGGAGCTCACAGGCTAATTATAATTGATGGGTCCTATTCATTATACAAAAACCTATAAAAAATATTGTCAGTTATATGATGCATATGACATAAAGGCATGGACCATAATAAAAAGAAATTTAAAAATATGGTGAGTTCATACCAAAAAATAACTGAGATCTGCCTCCATTGTCAGTTTTTGTTTTGAAACAAGGTTTCATGTAGCCCAGGCTGGCTTCAGACTCACTGTGTAGTCGAGGGAATACTGTATTCTGGTAGACTATAAATATCTCACTCATGTCTGTTTAACAAATGTGTACATCTATAATAATTCCACTTCTAATTTAAGACTAGAGAAAGCTGCCAGAAAGCAACATAAGTCTGAGACTTGTCTAAATGTGTCTGGCTCCTGCTTTTCCTAAAATGTGTATTTTTCTCTTGAGCACACTGTGGTTATAGCCAGAAGTGATGGATGCCATCCATGAATTCACTTATTAAAACCTTTTTCTGAAGTGGATGAAGATGACAACCCCTTTTTTCATGAGCTTTCAGTCAGGAAGAAGGAACTAGGCTAATAGATTATTGTAATGGGTGCTAGAGGCAAATGATAACCATCACTCTAGAGGACAGTAAGGACTTGATGTAGTGAACATAGAATGATGCATCAGGCTAGAGGAAAACTGACGGCAGCAGGTAGGTTTTTTTAGAGGAACTGACCCTTGAGCCCAGTCTTAAAGGAGGACTAGGTGTTTGTTCCTGAATGGGGTGGGAAGGTAGCTAAGAAGGGCATTGCAGGCAGAGTAATTGATAGAGGCAAAGCCAGGCATGGAATAACATAGGGGAACTGGAATTTGGTTTGCACAGCTGGGCATAAAGTATGAGGGAGCAGATGGCAAGGGCTGGAAAGGAAAGCATAGTTAAAAGCCCTAGACCTGGTAACCTAATTAGAATTCAGGGGAACAAGCAGGATTCTGTGTTGAGTAGGAAAGGCAATCCTAAAGAACAATAAACATGTAGATATTTGTAGCAGCTGCTCCAAGAAATTCACTTAAATTTCCGATGTAACGTTAAAAAGTGGAAAGAAGTGGACACAGAGGGAAAAGTAACTGAAGGTCTATGTATTTGCCTAAGACACTTGCACTTTGCTTCATGGCTGCAAATTGGACATTGGTTCGAAGGAGCTGGAGTGCACTCTACCTACTTAACTGTCCTTTCTCTTCCAGAAGTGATGCAGCTCTGGAAGAGGCAGTGGCAGAGGTGCTGGACCATCGACCAATTGAGCAGAAATCCTGCCCTCCCTGTCATGTTTCAGTTGAGCTGGTAGGGTCCTGTGCTACCCTGGTGGCAGAGAGAATCCTGCAGGAGGCACCAGAGATCTTGGACAGACAAACTGCAGCCCTTCTGCATGGTAAGGGCAGCAGTTTGAAGTTGGGACCTGAGTGATTCCTCTGTTCCCTTGCCTAAGAAAGAAGAGAGCAGCAGTCTAGACTCTTTCAGCCAGGCTGTGCTCAAAGCCATACAGCACATACCAATGGGCAAGGGTTCCTTCAGGGAATAATTAGGTACTGTTTAACTACCTGGGGATTTTTGCTGGAGAAGGTGGAAAGGAAGCAGGGGACAACTGACCTTGACATTCTTATTGGCAGCATAGTTTAATGGAAGAACTACTCAAAGAACAGGAAACAGTTCTGATATCAGTTCTACCAGGAAATAGTTATACGCCCTTGAGCAGCTCTCTTAACCTTTCTTGATCTCATTTTTTCCGTTTTATGAGAAAGAGACTGACTAGCTTAGATTAGACTAGGGATTCCTTCCAACATCAAGATTCTTTGCTGGAATTCAGCCTTCTGAGGAAATGTCCCTCCTCTGAGGTTGTGACGTCTCTAAGGGATTTCGGGCATCTTTTCCTTTCTACATCCCTGCCTGCATTTTACTTTGGGAGGTCACACTCAGAACATGACCAGTTCCAGTTTTGTCTTCAGTGCATTTGCTCCGCACATCTGTACTCTGTCTGATTTGAGCTTGGAAATGTCTCTCTGTGCTAGTGGCTATAACTAGAGAGTCCACTCACAGAATTCCAGTTCTGCATTCTCCCTTATAGGAACCATCATCCTGGACTGTGTCAACATGGACCCCAAAATTGGAAAGGCAACCCTAAAGGACAGCAAATATGTGGAGAAACTGGAGGCCCTCTTCCCAGATCTGCCTGAGAGAAATGACATCTTTGATTCTCTACAAAAGGCAAAGTTTGATGTATCGGGTATGAAGTGCCAAGCTGAATTCCCCCTTCTCCCACATTCTAAAGCAGGTGGGCAAGCTTGAACATCATCTCTTGAAAGCCGTCAGAACAATTTCTGAACATGAAAGTGATGTAAGCTTCAGGGCAGAAAGAAACCCATGTGCCTGCTCATGAACTGATCAGTATTTATCAGATTGTTCTGTCCTGACTCTTGATTAGGATGGGGAAGGCTGGGTATGGTAGCACACACTGATCCAGCACTTGGGAGGCCAAGGCAGGAAGATCAAAAGTTCAAGGTCAGCAGGCATGGTGGTGTACCCTTTAATCCCAGCACTTGGGAGGCCAAGGCAGGAAGATCAAAAGTTCAAGGTCAGCGGGCGTGGTTGTGTACCCTTTAATCCCAGCACTTGGGAGGCAGAGGCAGGCAGATCTTTGTGAGTTCAAGGCCAGCCTGTTCTACATAGTTCCAGGCCAGCTGGGGGTACCCCAGAAGTGTGGAGGCAGAGGCAGGCGAATCTCTGTGACTTCAAGGCCAGCCTGGTCTACAAAGTGACGTCAAGGCCAGTTGGGGCTACAAGGAGACCCTGTCTAAAAAAGATTTAAAAAAAAAGGGGGGGGGGTAGGTAGGATTAGGAGAGGGGGATAGAGACTAAAAGTAAAAGCCTCTATTTTTCTTTTTTGACACAGGGTCTTACTGTGTAGCCCTGGCTGACCTAGAACTTGATATGTAGACCAGGCTGGCATCCAACTCAGAGATCCCCCTCCCTCTGCCTCCCATGCTAGGATTAAAGGCATGTGCCTTTGGTAAAGGGGACTTTAGTAAAGTCCCTTTCTCTAAAGGTTAACCATTTAACTGTTAAGACTCAGTTATTTAATTCATAATATAATTACATCTTCAATTATTTCTCCTGTTCATTGTCCCCAAGAGAAACTATTTTCCCTCTCCTTGTCTTTACCATCCTGGTGTTGGAACTTAGATCCCCCATTTAACTTCTAGTTTCATGTGTACTTTCTAGGACTGACCACTGAGCAGATGCTGAGAAAAGACCAGAAGACCATCTACAGACAAGGCACCAAGGTGGCTATCAGTGCAGTATACATGGATCTGGAGGTAAGAGCAAATTGCCAGTCACTGGGAAGGGAACAGCTTTAATTACACATGAAACCTTGTGCCTCATTCTTGGCTCACTCTAGAACATCTTGGTACCTGTCTACCTGTTTCCCTTTCTCTTACGATCCCCATAATGTGTCATCTCTCACTGTGCTGCTCCAGTAGCCTGTGGACTAGTTTCTGTGCCTCCACTTCACTTTTATACTCCTAGAAATCATTCTCCACATAGCAACCAGTGATTTTGTTTGTTTTATGTTTTTGTCTGCATGTATGTAGGTGTACCATGTGTGTGCAATGTCCGAAGAGGCCAGAAGAGGGCATTGAATTACCTGGAACTGAAGTTTCTGATGGTTTTTAGCCACCATGTGGGTGCTGAGAACCAAATCCCAGTCCTCTGCAAGAGCAGCCAGTGTTCTTAACCACTGAACCAGCTAGCTTCAGCCCCCCGATTTATTTATTTATTTATTTTTAATACATTTTTTTATTATTTTTATTTTATGTATATGAGTGTTATGCCTGCATGTAGGTAAGTGCACCGTGTCATGCAAAGTCTGCGGAGGACAGAAGAGGCTGTCAGATCCCCTGGAACTGGAGTTACAGACAGTTGTTAGCTGCCATGTGGGTGCTGGGATTCAAACCTGGACCTTCTGCAAGAACAATGAGTGTTCTTAACCGCTGAGCCATCTCTCCAGCCCCTTATTTATTTTTTAAATTTTATGTTTATGGTGTTTTACATGCATATAAGTGCACTTGTGTGTGCGGTGCTTGTGGCGGCCAGAAGAGGGCATCAGATCCCTTGGAGCTGGAGTTATTGATGGTTGTGAGCTGCCATGTGGACACTGGGAACTGAATCTAGGTCCTCTGCAAGAGCAGCCAGTGCTCTTAACCACTGAAGTGTTGGAATTACAGGCTTGAGCTACTATATCTTGCTGTAGGAGGATCTTAAAGATATAAAGCACAGGGCTGGAGAGACGGCTCAGCAGTTAAGAGCACTTACTGCTCTTGTAGAGGACCTAGTTTGGATTCCCAACACCCGAAAGCACATGGTTCATAACCACCCATAACTCCAGTTGGCATCTGCATGCACTTGGTGCACATAAACTCACTCAAGCACACATATACATACATAATTTTTTAGAAATCTTTTTTAAAAAGATAAAAATGGTGACACACATTTTTAATCCCAGCATTCAGGAGGCAGAGGCAGGCAGATCTCAGAGAGTTTGAGGCCAGCTTTGTCTACATAGTGAGTTCCAGGCCAGCCAGGGTTATGTAGTAAGGCTCTGTCTCAAGGTGCGGGGGCACCCTGGAGAGGTGGCTCAGCAGATAAGAGCACTGACTGTTCTTGCAGAGGACCTGGGTTCAGTTCCCAGCACCCACATGGCATCTAACAACTATCTGTAACTACAGAAGATGTAAATTAGATCCTGTCCAGGCACTCCTTGCTCCATGTCCCATCTTACCTCTAGAGACTTTCCTCCTTACAGGGTGCTGCTGTCTCTTCCCAGTGCTCACAGTGCTATAGTCACACCCATTGTCTTTCTGCTCTTCTGACCATTCTGCTCACAGCCTTAGTGTTGTGATTCTCTTCAGAGCTGGTTCCTTATCATTTAGCCCTCAGCCCAGATATATCCTGTTTTGCAAGGCTTTTCCTGAACCATTAACTGAAATGATATCCTTAGCTTGGTAGGCATGGCGACATACACCTATAATTCTAGCCCTGGGAGGATGAGGCAGGAGGATTCCAAGTTCCAAGTTTTTCTCTAAAAAGAAAAACAAAATCAAAACAAAAGTATCTGACAGCTTTAGACATTCATAGCACTCGACACTGAGATATTTCATGGCTTTTTTGTGTAATGTCTTTACTTAACTTCTTCTGCTAGTTTATCAGCTCCACTGCAAACAGCCATTTCTTTCATCTCTCCTCTGTTTGGCACCTTTTTGTGACAGTGCCTGGCGTACAGTGAACATGTTGAATGGGTGGATGAATGTAACTTTAATAATAGTATTTCTTTTCTTTCTTTTTTTTTTTTGTCTTTTTTTGAGACAGGGTTTCCCTGTAGCCCCAACTGGCCTGGAACTCACTATGTAGACCAGGCTCGCCTTGAACTCACAGAGATCTGCCCTGTTTGCCTTGCCAGTGCTGGGAATATACTCTCATACTCTACACAGGGATCTTCTTCTACTAAAGGCCAGCAGGGGCTACAGGGAGATCAAAAACAAACAAAATAGATAGCTGGGCATGGCAGCGCACGCCTTTAATCCCAGCACTCGGGAGGCAGAGGCAGGTGGATCTCTGTGAGTTCGAGGCCAGCCTGGTTTACATAGTGAGTTCCAGGCCAGCTGGGGCTACAGGGAGACCTTGTCTCAAAAAGACCAAAAAAAAAAAAACAAACAAACAAAATAGGAAGGCCAAGGATAGGGGAAAACCCTGATTTGAAATAGGTCATATTACTATATTTTGGAGGAAATACTGCATAAAAATTTGGATAACTGAGATTAGCAAAGAAGAAAAAGTCAAAGATAGATTACCACACCTCTTTTTACTTATGCACTATATTTTTCTGTTATAGAATAAAAATACATGACAAAATTTTTTATTTACTTTCACTTTATGTGTATGAGTATTTTGTCTGCATATAAATGTACCAGGTGCCTGAAGTGCCCTCAGAAGGCAGAAGAGGGTATCAGATTCCCTGGAACTGGAGTTAAGGATGGTTGTTAGCCACCCTATGGGTGCTGAGAACTAAATCCATGTCCTCTGGAATAGCAGTAAGTGCTCTTAATGCTGAACTATCTCCAGTCCTATGACAAAGATCACAGATCAAGAAAGCTCGAGGATGTCAGGCACATTACATACATTATCCCATTTTTCGGGGGAGGGGTATATGTATACATGCTAGGATTTGAATTCAGAGCTTCGTACATGCTGAGCATTTGTTCTACCACTAAACTACATCTCCAGGTACCCCTTATGTTGGTTTTGTATGGGGGTGGGATTGTTTGGTTTTTGAAACAGCATCTTCCCGTAGACTCAACTGACCTGAAACTTGCTATGTAGACAAGTTTTAATTCTTTTTTAAATATGTTATTTATTATTTTTATGTGTATTGCCTGCATGTAGTTAAGTCCACCCGTGTCATGCAATGCCTGTGGAGGACAGAAGAGGCTGTCGGATCCCCTGGAACTGGAGTTATAGACAGTTGTTAGCTGCCATGTGGGTGCTGGGATTCGAACCCAGGTCTTCTGCAAGAACAGCCAGTGTTCTTAACCGCTGAGCCATCTCTCCAGCCTCCTCAAGTTTTAATTCTTAAAACAATTGTTTGGAGCTGGTCATTGCAGCGCTCAGCTTTAATCCGAGCATTCACAAGGCAGAGGCAGGTAGATTGCTGTGAGTTCAAAGCCACCCTGGTCTACATAGTGAGCTCCAGGCCAACTGGGCTATAGGGAGACCCCGTCTCAAAAAATAAAATAAAACCAAAAAACCCCACAATTGTTTGGTAAATGTCTCCTTATTTTATTTGAGGAAATTTAGGTCCAGGTGGTAACTGTAAGTCCTTAACCTAATAGGTAATGTAATAGAGCTGATTATCAAAACAGTGCTGCCTTAATGCAAAGTCCATGTTTTCCTGCTTCTGCCATTGTGTGATATAGCGCAGTGAATGCTACATAGCATCTTAGTGCTGCACAACTTGTGGGGAGTTCTGGTTGCAACAAAGTGTCTGGCTGTAGCTTCACCACTCTTATTTCTTTCCTTCCAGGCTTTTCTGCAGCGTTCAGACCTCATTGCAGATCTCAGTACTTTCTGCCAGACTCACAGCTATGATGCTGTGATCGCTATGACTATCTTTTTCAACTCTCACAGTGAGCCAGTGCGGCAATTGGCTATTTTCTGTCCCCATGTGGCACTTCAAATGACAGTAAGTCCCCACTCCTTCTCCAACCCTTAGGGTCAAAAGGCCTGTGTGTACCTCTGTTCTACAGCTCTGTGTTAGAAGACCTTGCTTTGAGTCTTATCTTTATGTGTATGAGTATATTGCCTGCATGCATGTAAGTGCACCTGTGTTGTGCAGTGCTCACAGAGGTCAGAAGAGGGCATCAGATCCCCTGGGACTGGAGTTTTGAACAGTTGTTAACTGCCATGTGGGTGCTGTGGATAGAACCCAGGTCCTCTGCAAGAGCAATCTTAACCACTCAGTCATCTCTCCAGCCCCCCAGAAGGGTTTTCTAAATGTGTGTATGTGTATTTGTATGTTTTTAAAACTTATGTGTGTATCTTTGTGTCTTTGAGAGTGTATGTATACATATATGTACCTGTTCCCTGGAGTCCAGAAGATGATGTTGAATCCCTTGGAGCTGGAGTTACAGCCAAAGCCCAACATGGGTGCTAAGATCTGAACTTCAGTCCTCATGATTGGACAACAAATGCTCTTAACCACTGAGCCATCTCTCCAGCCCCTAATTTGTTTTTTAATGTGTATGTGTGGGCACACATGTGCAACTGTGCACAAACGGAGGTCAGAGCAGTTTGCAGGAATCCATTCACTCCTGCATCCCAGGGTGCAAACTCAGGATTGGCGGCAAGAGCTTTTACAAAAAATCTCGCCAACCCTATTTTTGATTTTTGAGACAGGGTCTCACAGCCTTGAACTTACAATGATATTTCTGCAGCACTGGGATTACATGTGAGTGAGCCACCACACCCAGCTAGGTCAGATTCTGCCGTCATCCACATGATTTCGTTCAAGACGATCTCTGAGCTTTGGTTTCTTTGTCAATAAAACAAAATATATGATCTAAATAGAAATGGGTATGGTGGCGCGCACCTTTAATTGCAGCACTTGGGTGACAGAGGCAGGCAGATCTCTTTGAATTTGAGGCCAGCCAGACCTATATAGCAAGTTCTGGGCTAGCCCTGTCTCAAAAATAAATAAATT